CACCAGTACTGTGCAGGCTGTCATCTGTTGACTGATGTAATTTACACAAACTCTAAAAAGCTGTATGAATGAAGTGATTAAAAACATGTTTCTTGCCTTTATGGAACCTCACTTCTCATTCACAAACCTTTTTCTGTTGTCAGGCAAATATTTGTAAGGCATTTGCTGAATTGTTCCAAGTCGCTTCAGCTAAACCTGCACCTCTTGGGATCTGTGATTATCCATCATCAAGAGCAATATACGCTGTTGACTTGATGCTGAAATGGGACACCAGCAGAGATGGTGAGAAGCTCAACACTTCGAATTCTTTTTGTTTGTGGACTGTTTCAGAAATTTATTTCTTCGTCTGAACTCTTACCGTTTCTCAAGCAGTGTGAGCTGTGTGCTCTGTGCCTCCCACTGACATTAAAGCACAGCTGGAGTTGCAGATCTGTGGGGTTATTAGCATCTGCCTTGCTGGTTAACAGGAATGACGAGGGAGCTGTTTACTGTGCTTGGCTGAGTTTTTGCTTCCCCTCTGCCCCTGCTACTGCTGTTCCCTGTTTTTAAAAACAAAACAAACAAAGCCACAAACAAACCAACACACACAAAAAAAACCCAACTGTACAACAATCCTGTCACTCTACCAGCAGCAAGTTTTCTTTCCCATTTATGGTAAGAGAATGTCTGAAATACGTGTCTCTATGAAAACCTTAGAGACATCTTACTGAATGTGGCTTCCAGCTTGGATTGTCTTCAAAGCAGGGAAGGGACCACATTCACTATGTCAGTGCTGTTGATGCCCTCAGGACTGTCACTTAGTTGTTGCCAAGTATCTGCAAGAACATGTGTGTGAAGCTCCTTCATGTTAGTGCCACAGTGTAGCTGAGTATCTGGACCCTTTCTTCCAGACAGTTGTGGAGGACTGGTAACAAAATTTGCCAAATTGGGCAAATTCTTTGTTATTTCCCCAGGAGGTTCAAAAGTGTTCTGTCACTATGCCCAACCCAGATGCATGTCTCTTGTAGGTAGAAAAGCAGCAGAGGCACCAACACAAAAAGGGACTGTCAGGGGAGTATTAAACAAAATTGAGGGTACTCTTGTCTTGTGAAACTCTGGTCACTGGGACACAAGAGAAAGTCATTGCTTGTGCCCAGGTTTGCCAGAAGAGTTACTAGATGATGCATGTTGGGTGGGTGCCCCTAGCCTACTGCTGGAGTGGCTGAATCTGAATTATGAGATAGATATATCTACTGATAGATAATGAATCACCTTCATGGAGGGAAATGATTGAGAAACAGGAGATGTAAAATGGAGCCTTTGGCATTCAGGTGGAGGAAGGTTTTGAATCTGGGTCTGCTACATCCCCACTGAATGCCTTTTGCCTGTCCCAGAGCTGTCGTGAACGGCAGAGGCAAAGCAACTCACTAGTATTACTAGTACAAGGAAAACTATCGTAGTAAAAGGACTAAACTCATATTACATCTGCAGCTGAACGTGAGCTGCACAGATCCCTGGTCTTCTGAAGATGGGGGTGTGGGTGCCAAAGTCACGGCTGTGTTGCTGTAGACAGCCTGTGGACAAATAGGTTGGTTGCTTCTGTGCAGAGCAGAGTATGGTTACCTGTGCATCAGAAACTTGTACCCACCAGACAGGAAACCAAATCCTTTGTTTCTCTTTGCACAGAATGCAGTTGATTCTGAGCTGTACTGATGGAGTTTTAAGAGAAAATTTAACTTGACTTCCTTCAGGAGTGAGTTGAAGTGGCAGGTGGGAGTGGCTGGAGTGTAAAGGAGCAGGACTGCTAGAACTGGAAAGGTAGATATCTAGGAGCTTCAAGAAAGAAAGCTTTGTGCTGAAACATGAAAGGAGAAGCAGTTTTCTGGAAGATGTTTTAGACTGTCAAGCAAGAGAGCTGCATCAGGGAGATCCTATTAAATTGCTGCAAATTCTCATTCTAAGCGAGGCATTGGATTGGTACAGTGACTGCAGAATCTGTTGGGTTATTTTTCTCTGGATAATGATGGTACGACAGACCTCCATCCCTCCAAAAAAACCCAAACAAACCCATCCTTCCATCTTGGGTCATAAAACATGGCTTTTCCCAGTCATTCTGTGTGGTGTCTGGCTTAAAGACTCTAGTGATTCTGTAGAGCTTGTATTAAGAGGCAGTGTTTGTGTTCCTCTTCGCAGGGAAAAGAATTATGCAGCCTCAGATCCTGGAGGTGAACTTTAACCCTGACTGTGATAGAGCCTGCAAATACCACCCTACCTTTTTTAATGATGTCTTCAGTACCCTATTTCTGGATGAAACTGACAACTGCCATGTGACATGCATTGTCTAGCCACAGGAGGCTTCATTCTATTAATTTCCTTCCCAGATAAGCTGAACAGCAAGATTTATATTGCAGTTCTGTGAGCTGCTGATGCAACTATTTTCCTATACTAGTAACCCAGGAAAAAAATTTCTATCAGAGGAATATGCATATACCATATACTGTATTGATAATCATTTTGTCTGCATTTTCTTTGTCTTGCTTAGTTCTTTACATCATCAGTTTGTGTTGACCAAATGTGTTGTTGGTTGAATATGGGAGACCTCAAAATAGGACAATAACTGGAGCAATTACCTTGGTTTTCAGTAGCCTGATTGCTTGCTTGCTGGGAGACATTGCACAAGTTCGCTGTGTCAACATTAAAACTGTAATTTACTGGATCATGTTGGAGTTTGTATGTCTCTTTCTTATCTATCCCTCTTATACAAAGTTCTAAAATGTTCTGATGGCAAAATAATATTTCAGTGCAATGAACTCCTAGAGTAATGAAATTAGAAATTTGATGGCTTTTCCCATTTTTCTTGTTTAAAAAAAACGGCACGGCATATAGTTGTGACAGCCTCGCACTGCTGGCTGTCATCCTTAGCCTGCCCCTTAAAGAGACTAGGGTTTTGGGAAGGGATCAGGCAGGAAGTAAGAAGGATGCAATGTCTAGAGCAGCACAGGAATGCATAAGAGGCCTGAAGGAATGAAAGGCATCTGGAAAACTCTGCTATAAGCCCAAGCAGTCTTTGGACTTCAAGGTTTAGAGCTTAAGATAGAGATATTTGGGACTGGGGTGTCAGTTTGAAATGAATCATTCCTAATCTCTTCCCTCAAGTCAGGGTTAACTGGCTGAAATTTAGCAATTTAGGCTGTATTTATCTTGCTTGTGTGTATGTACAAGTTGCAAAAAATCTGCTGTCCCTCATTCAGTGTGTATGTTATGTGGGTATTAAGTTAGTTTGCAGCAATCGGGATCTACTTGAGAGCAAAATATGGTTACAAAATTGTACAGATGTTCTGAAACTTGATTCAAGCCTTGCTTGCAGTGTTATCCCTGATGATCAAGAAGGGAGAGGGATATTTTAGGCTATTTCAGGCTGGGCTGCAGAAACTACTTTTTTCCACTGACTGGAACATAGTCTGGAGAAATAAACCATCTGTGTCTTGGAACATCCAGCCTATGCAGGTGGGCAAAGGGAGAGCTGGATTGCACAGCCAGGAACGGTGCTGACAGCTCTATCAGTCTCCAGCTCACGAGTCAGAACTTCTTTGGACTCCTTACTTAAATGTGACTAAAGAAAACATAAAGTGCCTAACACAGATGGTGTGACTACTTCCAATGTAGGGCAAACATTTGTCTGTGATATATAGTAATGGGTGCTGGAGACTGGACATAAGGGACATGCAGTGCTGCTCAGTGAATGTATTTGTTGTGGGAGAGCAGAAGGCACTTTCTGCCTTCAGAGGACCTGAAAACACCTAACAAAGTGCCTGGGGATCTATGGGGAGAGGTTTCCCTCATCACAAAGGGAAAGTGATGTCACATTTAGCAAACCAGAAGAATGCCTTCTAAAAAGTAATAAGATTTGTGCAGTGGGACCATAAGCTGTGGGCAAAAATAAGTCTGTTGTGCTCCTGGATGGAAGAGATTTTTTTATCTTACAGGAAGCAACTGGTTGAACTAAGCATCCCAGATCTTGCTGTGTGCACTGCCATAAGCCTGAAGAGGAGAAACCCTGGTTTCTGTTTCTAAGCAGCTGAAGTGAGAAGGCGCAGGTAGGAGACACGAATAGCTTATGGTGCCGGTACTGCCCTGCTGGGCAGCCAGACCCACCAGTGGCCTGGCTGCCAGCTCTCCTGTTAGGGTCTAGTGGTGAAATGGCATCCCTCTGAGTGTCCAGGTGGAGCGTGTTAGTGATGTTTGGCCAGAGCTGCTGGAGATGCCTCAGAGGTGTGTGCAGGGAGCTGCTGAGTATTTGGGTCCTCTCAGTTTCTGCCCCAGTGCTCCCAGTTCCTGTTCTGTCTTGCCTGTCACAGAGGTGAGGAGTGATGAAGGGACTGTCTTTAAGGCTACAGCACCCAGTTGCTTTAAGGGTTTTTTCTTCTGCTCAAAACCATTTAAAACCAATAAAAACAGGAGTAAGGTCAGTAAGTTTGCATGTACTTTAATGCATTCAGTTGACACTAGATTGTACAGTGCTTCAAAGTGGGAAGGCACAAATTGTGAAAAAGATCTCATCTTAAACACTTCCAGAGTACAATGACCAGAAAAGAAATCTGGCAGCTGTAGTGGGGCACATCAATAGCACTAAAGCACTGTGTCTAGTGGTAAACGTGAAAGATTCAGGCCACAATTGTGCCTATCACTCTTGATTCAGACCACAGTCATGCCTGTTGCTGTTAGGAGCAGCTTTCTGGAAGCTGTGTTAATATATGGCTGGATTTCTTCCTCTGAACATCACAAAGTTGGAGTTCATGCTTATTTCTGGTAACAGTTAATGTTGTTGTCATATAAAATATAATGCTGTAATACAGAAAACTAGTGCTTTTATAGCAAACTAACAGGTAGTGCTGATCGAGAACCCAGTCAGGGATACAACCCTTTGTGACTTGCCTAGTAAAGGCATATTTGCTTCAAACGAGTGCTGCTTTGTCAGGTTATAACAGTGTAAGTAATTGAGCTAAAAATGAAATAAGGCTATAACTTTATTTAGAAAATTCTTGTGGGGAAAAAAATATCTATTTGGCTGAGAACTGTTTATTTGGACTGCTTCTTGTTGCGATTGTCCTTCCAGACACGGTAGTTGAGTGCAGAAGCCATAGTTAGCCAAGCTAAATAAGGAATCATCAAATAAGCTGCTGTTTTGTTGACTTTATACCAGGAAACAGTCGTAGCTGTCGCCGTGCCAGTCGTGAGCAGGAGAGTCACCAACCCCTGAAACACAGGAAGGTGGTCAGTGTTGGGTTTACTTGTTGCATTTTCTTGACTAGTCTTCGTGTGCCTCTTTCCACTTCGCTCTGGCACTTGTTAATTCCTTCTCAGAAAACCAGCCAGCAACAAAAAAAGAGAGATTTCTGCTGAATTATGAGTCAATTTGACTCATAAAACAATGCAACAATCACAACAAAGGACATTGCTGCTGGGAGCAAGACAGGGAGAATAAAATCCCACTCACCCATACCCTCTTTTTTTGTTACATTCACTACAAACCCAGTGTAACTTTGAGCAAGTCACTTAGCTAAGTGTCCAGTCTTTTCACGTCACAGGTGCAGCCTGAAGAGATGTGGTGTGAATGAATCGATGCTGGATTGCAAAGTCTTCCACTACTACAGCATTGCACGGACATTTAGAGAACCAGGGAAGTATTTTTCAGTGTCCATTACTGATTTATTTTTGAGGCAAGCTGTTTTCTCTTCAGACTGCAGAAAATTAGTCTGGTCAAAAATGAGTGCTGATTACCTGAGTAATGTTCTGATAAGCTTCCTACCACTGCTGTTTGCCAGAGGTACCATGGTATTTTAGTAAGGCATAAACATTTACATTTTCTGGTGACAAAGAGCTCTTATCAAAGGATGGCAGAAAGAGCTTCTTGAAACTTACGGATGTTGTAGATATGTAACGCTCTCAGGGGGCTGCTGGCATGCAATAAAGAGAATTTTAGAAAACTCATGCAAGCCATACTCTGTTCTCAGGCTCATTTTCAGGGAGCAAAGATTGTAACACTTAACTTTCGACTCAGCACCTTGCCAATGACAGCAGGAGTCTTTGATTAAGAAACTTTTCCACTTACCCATCCCATTTTGTGAGCTCTAAAAAATATTGGAGTCCATGACCAGTTTAATGCCAGCTGCCCTGCATACAGACCCAGAGGAACCACCGACTTCTTGTTGAAGCCCCCCACTTCCTTCCACACCAGGTACGAGCCGTATCTGGAGAAAGCAAATGGAGGCTATAACTCAGTACACCAGTTAGAAAGCAACTGCACATTGTTGATCAAACGAAGCAGCTTCAGTGCTAGGGTCTAGACTGATTTGGGAAAGTAGACATCCAGACACTACTTGGCAGAGTAACTGACTGCACAGGGTTGATCACCTGCTGTAAATAGCAGTAGAGAGATTAATTCCCCAGCCTGCCAGAGTACTCACTTCTAGGTGTAGAGGAGCAGATGACCTACTGTGTTTCAGCCTTAAAAGAGAACACCATGCTGAAACAGAAGCAAGTCCAAGAAGCAAGGCTAAAAGGAAGTCTCTAAATAGTGGAGAAACTGTTCATTTTGGTACTGGGAGATGGTGCTTTAAAAATAAAAAAAAAATCCAACGGAACTCACTGACTGTTTAAGTGGATGAAATGAACACAAAAGAAGTAGGAACTGAGTGGCATCCCAAAGCACAGGGTGAGGATGGGGATGGATGGTGTTAAAAGCAGGAGGAACCTATAGCCACTTTTCAGAAGGAAGGGGAGAACAAAGAATCAACCAGGAGGAGCACCCAGCACCCTTCCTGTCTGCAGCATCCTGGCTACTGGAAGATCTTCCAAAAATGTTTTGAAGATTTTGAACAGATCTTCTTAATGCTACAGAAGATCAGTTTGCTAGAGGGATCCCAAAATGTAAGGTGCTAAAGACAGGAATTCTCAGCATGTGAGAGATGTACTAATGTAAGGTTTATTTTTTGCACTTGAAGGAGCCTGAATAGAAGGACCATTCATTACCTAATACTATTTCTTTTGCTCTTGTTTGATTTTTCCCTTTAGACATCAGCTAGATTTCAATCCAGATGACTGCACAGCCATTCCAAGTGACCACAGTAGAATGCCCTAGATAAAATGCCAACATCTGGAATTACACCCTTGCCTTAGAACTTGTAAGTGTACATGGATTGCATCCCAGCTGGATGTGAACTGGGTACTGGATGTGTACACCAGGCTGGACAGCATGGGGCTCCTGTGTATCTCTGCTGGCAGCAGAGCAAAGATGGAGACCAACTTTAAGCATTGCGGTTTTCAGGAACAGACAAACATCCATACAAGTAATTGCAAGGAGTTTGTCTTCATTTGTAGGTCATATTTTTTCCTGTTTAACCCAGTTAATGACACAAGCTTGCTTCTTGGCCATTACTTTCATAGGGGCTGAACAATGCAGCTTTGAAATCCTGGCAGTTTGATTCCAGAGAGTGTTAAAAAAGGAATGGAGAGGGCAAGGTAAGCCTTAGAAACTTAACAGTTCATCTCTGTAACAGGCATCAAGACCCAAATCTGTTCCTAAGTGATTTACAGAGACACGGTTGTTCGTCATCTAAATTCAGACTAATGTACAAATCTACCTGGAAATTAAATGTCAAGGAAGGCACGTAAGCTTATTACATCCTGCTTTTAGTTACTTCTTGCTTTTAACATGTTTGAGAGGTTCTAAAGGAACCAGATGTCTTGATCAGTCAAAGAATGTGTGCACATGATGGATTACAGAAGAAATGGTCTGGTAGTAGGTATGATCTGATGTACATAATCAGAACCATCCACCTCAGAATATACTGATTCTGATATTATCAAAGTAAGTGATCAGCTGTCACAACTTGAAGGAATGGCTTCACAGAAAAGCCACTCAGCTCTTGTCCCTTTCATCAAGGCATTCTTTTATTCTCAGGACAGTAATGATTTGATTCTAATGCTAACTCCTGGAATATACAGGAGTAGAGAGCATTTTTTAAAAGTAGACATTGTAAAAGGAGAAAGAAAAGAGAACACTAATAAGAAAGGAGGGACAGTACACATGGCTATAAAAATTACAAAGCCTTTCTGGAAAGAAAACGAAACCAAATGAGCAAATGTGTGAGAGACAATTTAGCATTCAGATACAGTTTCAGACACTGCATCATTGCTGTATTTTGCAACGGGGTATTTAAGATAACATGCAGGATGACCATGTAATGTTCACTTGGAAAAGATGTGAAACTTCATATAGTTAAGCCAGTGCTATACACGTGCCACTTAAAATGTACTGTCGTGATGGAATAAATTAATGGGAGATGGGAGGGATTAAGCCATAAAAGGCATATTGCAGCCTTAAAACTATTACTATTGGATTAGCAACAAGGTGTATTTGATAGCTAGGAAACAGCATGATTAATCTTGCTGTGTAGCTAGTTCTTAATGACCAAGTGCAGAATAAAGACAAAGCATCCTTTTGTGCTTGGGGGCTGCACTGACCTCTGCTGAGGCTCTAGGAGCAGAGTGCTCCCTCTCCTCTGTGGCACAGCTCACCAGAGTTAACATAAAAGCATGTAATGTTGGGTGGACAGCTTCTAGAGCAGTCTGTGAGGTGAGTCAGAACTGCCCAAACAATCTCTTGAGACAAGCTACCTCTATAAATATATTTACCACATCTTATTAAAGTAACAGCTGCCAAAATACAGTATTATTAAACTTTTAAGGTTCCTATGGGGATGGTTTTTGGCCATGTCGTTCCTTGTTCATTTGACAGTAATTGCTGTGCTGTTAAATAAGGAGTCAGTAGATGTTTCAAACATTTAGAGTTTAACGCATATGTTTGGATTTTGATTTCTTTTACTTGAGCTCTGTTAGAACAGCTCTATCCTAATTCTCCCCCTCCCCTATTTTTTTAATATAGTTTTCCTAAAACTCCTGAAGGACATACACAGAAGAACTCCCAATGCTGCCTTACTACATCACTGCCAGCTTGGCAGGTATTCCCCTCAGGATGAATGAGGAAAGCAAGTTGATGGCAGCTTTTCAAACTCCTGCTTTTGATGTGGATACTTGTGCATACCAAATGTCCTATCAAACCCACACACAACTCCCAAAGCATGTCTCTACCTGTTAAACAGGCAGTTTGACACAGTTTCTTACGAACATACAGCCACAGGAATACAATAATAATTCTCTGGTCCAGCATTATACAATAAGCAACTTTGAGATCAGGTAAGTGCCTGAATACAGTGTGAAAAACATACCCCATCGATGTATAGATAGCTCCCCAGACAGGAGCAAACACCCAGTTAGGTGGGCACCAGGATGGCTTCTGTAGAGATTCGTACCACACCGGCAATTCCTTTTTGATTAGCCTGCTTCCTAAAAATCCTCCTGCAGGGGGCAGGAGTGTGAAACCCACTGCCGGGGCCCAGGCTGACACCACTTCCATCGAGACAGTCGATCTGGAACAAACACAAAGACGTCGATCTGCAGAGCGATTTTAAAATGCAACTACAAAAGTTGTCAATTTCTAGCAGATTTAAAAACATACACATGTACATGAGCCGCAGCCTGAGCTTGTCACTGGGAATGACTGCAGCTGAAATGAATGGATCTTGTACCAGGTTCACTGGACAATACTCACACCCATAAAGGAACCTATTATTCACTTGGCAGGGGAAAGTGAGGCCTTTACTTCCCTCTCAGCTTTGTGCACTATGATTACTGAATTTTACCTGCATAAACACCCTCACCCAGTTTGATATTATATGAACTATGCTTGGAGAAAAAAAAAATCCACTAAGAATTCCTGTGTATTCCCGTATTCAACAAAAAGCCCATTCACTCAATGAGATAGAGTACGAAAAGAGTGTGTGCTTTCCTGTGCTCAGCCAAAATAATTGTATATGCTGTGTTTCATTTTTAGCCTCAAAAAGGTGCCGAGGATGCTCAATGGCTGGTAAAAGTGATCTGAATAACAGCAGACACTTGAGAAGCTGCCTCAGAAAATAAACACCAGGAGGACAAGGAGAAGATAAGTACTTAAATGATGTTTTGCTAACCAGGGAAGAAGATCCGTGGTGGCTTCCTGAATCATCCAATCAGTTGCAGCAATCTTAGCTGCCAAGCCCATAAAGTGCGCTGGATTAAACTTGCCCACAGAAGTAAGACCTTGCTCTGGTAGGCCATGCTGGTTTCGTTAAAGAGTACAGGCAGCAGTAAAAAAAGTAAGCAAGGAAACAGGAAAAAGCTTCATTGCAGATTTTCTGGCCAAAAGCCAAACACTACAGAACAGCCATGTTTAGCTTGCTAAAATATAAACAGATTAGAGACATGATAAAAAAGGGCAGAACCAAAATGCAGTGCGTTATTTTTTCAAGTATACAGTAGGCAAATACACCCAATTCCTGTTCCTGTGTCCTGCGGGAGGGGGAGAGATTGCAGCAGTGGGGAAAAGGCAATTATGGAAGTCCCAGGAGAGAAAACAAAGTTTTACAGCAACCAGCATTTCAGAGGCATTTCAAAGAAAAGTTCTGTATTGACCTGGCTGTTCTCTTGGCCTACATTTGAAAGGTTTTATTAATGTAGTTCTGACTGCTGGGATGAGGAGGCAGGAAGTAGGGAAGAGGAAATCCCCCTCGTACTAGATGTGCTTAAACCAATAGGAAATGGCTCACAGATGACGTTGCACTGTTGCAGTTCTGCTGCTGCAGTGGATTTCTGTTTGGAGAACAGGTATAAGCTTGGCCAGCAATGGAGCTCTCTTGCACTGTGGTTTTTGTCCCTGTACTCGAGGGCCTGCCCACACAGTTATGCAGACTGAATGAATAGATTTCAGAGGCTGGGACCACAAGCCAGAGTGGCTTTAGATGGGCTTGTACAGCCTAGAAAAGAGAAGGCTCTGGGGAGGCCTTACAACAGTCTTTCAATGCCTAAAGGGGCCGACAAGAAACCTAAAGAGGGACTTTTTACAAGCACATGTAGTGACAGGACAAGGAGGAATGGCTTTAAACTGAAAGAGGGGAGACTTAGATTATACATTAGGAATAAATTCTTCCCTGTGAGGGTGATCAGGCACTGGCACAGGTTGCCCAGAGAAACTGTGGCTGCCCCATCCCTGGCAGTGTTCAAGGCCAGGCTGGACAGGGCTTGGAGCAACCTGGTCTAGTGGAAGGTGTCCCTGCCCATGGCAGGGGGGTTGGAACTGGGTGGTCTTTAAGGTCTCTTTCAACCCATTCTATAATTCTATTGCACGAGATCATGAAAAATCCGGGTGTTAGAAGCAGAGCAGAATTTTGAAGGCAAAACAGCATGGAGGGACTGGTAAAGCATGCAGGATCAAAAAGCTTGCAAGGAGTAAAGAAGAAAGCGTGTGTAGGCTGCTGAGCTGTGTGAATGCCTTAGGTGAGAGTCATGGGAGGGCAAGGAATAGGAATGCACACAAAAAAGGCAGTAGACAAAGCAGGACAACAAAGTCAAAAACAGAACAAAAGAACAAACAAGTAAAAAAGCTAAGCAGTGAAGAAGCTCATTGCTGTAGTTACTGCTGCCATATGGATTCTGCTTACTATTTACCAGGGAGCATCCTGAATGGAGCAAAGGAGTCAACATGTTCTCCTTGCCTAGATCCATAGTGCTACTCTCCTGAGGGAGCAGACTGTCAGCTGTGGTGCACACTACTTACCACCTGTATTGACAGCATGAAAGGTTCTGCTTTGACTGGGATGTGAAGGAATTGCTATGTGCAGGAGCAACAACGTGCAATGGGGAAAAAGCTCCAGCACAGTAATTCTCTTTGGCTGCCTTCAGATAAAGAGGTTAAGTTAGAAATCTAAAGTTACTAAGATCTCATTAATTCCTACCCTGTCGGTCTTTCTTTGCCTAGGTTTGGTTCTCTACACATGCTGCAAAGTGCTGGTCACCTGTGCAGCTCCAGGATGGCTGTCAAATGCTAATATATTTTTTAAAGTGATAAGCAAGGACCCAAAGGGGTTTATGCTTTATTTGGCTGTAACAATACCAGGGTGGCTTCCTGCAGGCATTAAGCAACTGCACTTTGTCAGTGGTTCTGTCAGCTTCCCCCTAGGGAAGGGTCTGAAAGTGTTCTGCAAGCTGAAAGTGCTAAATGCTGTCAAATTGGAAAAGTACTGCTCTGCTGCAGTTACTGGTGAAAAAATGATGTCGCTACACGTCTGTCTGTCTGCATGTTAGAGGAATAACACTGAAATAATTCTTAGAGTGACATGAGAAAGGAAATCAGGCAGGCAAACAGCAACGGGGAAAGCACAAAGAAATGGGGAAAGTGAAGCCATGCATGAATAGGAAAATGGAAGAAATAGAAGCGAAGATTGAACATACTGGCTTGAACTGAGTGTCGGCATCCCAGCCTTTTGACTACTATTACTACTAATTATACACTATGTTTTCCAACAGTATTTCTTATCACTTCCCAAGCTCTCTTCTTCCAAAATACTCTCTCTTGCATAGTACCAAGGAGACAGAGGAACGAAGCCATGCAACAAGATCAGAACAAGACGGTAGGGTAGACCACAGCTGTCCATCAGCAGTGGCAGTTCCTGTATTTTAATCCACAAGAAATTAAATACTTGTATCAATTTCCCATAAAAAGCAGTAGCTAACTCAAGGAGCAGCACTAGTTGATTGTGGAAGAAGCCATGTCCATCTTTCTCTGCTTACCTGGTGTAGGTCTTTAGTAAGAGCGTAAGTAAAAGGCAAAGATGCACTAGAGAGCCTGTGCACTCAGCCAGTGCCACAGCATGCATTTGGTTAGCTATGCAGCACGGACCTCTGTGAAAGCAATCACAGAGTACGTAAAGGATTATCGGCCCTTATCCTTTTAGGGTACAGCTGATAACCCTGAAATTACCTGGTGATAACTTACACAGCACAGGTTTGCTCACACAGCCCCTCTGGCTGCAGCTATATTACACAACCTAGAAATAATTGCTATTTTCCCAATCATAGCTCCACTTCAGGGCGAGATCTGGTTGTGCAATGTTCTTGCACCTTGATTTTCATCCTGAAGAAACTTGGATGTCTGTGGTGGTACCTGCAACGTGTCCAGCAGATACTGCCTCTGAGAACCACCACAGTTAGAAATCTTTTCTTCCACACACACTTGTTTATTTCTGTTTCCACTTCTTATCTCTGCCCTGCAACATTTTCTTCATCATTCTGCCCATTTTCTGTTTAGCCCTACTCTGACTTCAGGCAGTTTCAGCAGTGTAGTGAGGACTGCAACAGGCCAGTTTATTCTACAAACATGTTACAATAATTTTTCTAGGTATTCATAACATCCAACTTGCCCAAAGCTGATTACAGCTACATAAAGGAGAAATAAGGGGGGGGGGGGGGGAACAATGGTGCAACTTGCTGCTCAATGGGCTTCTACTTTTTGCAGGTTGTTTCTCTACGGTGGTGTAACATGAAGAAAAACAACAGCTTTCCATGCCCTCCTCTTCAAAAAAGAGATGGGGCATGCTACAGGTGGGACTAAATATATCATGACAGAGGAGCAGTTTTGTTTCAGCCTGATGAAAAATGACCTAAACCACTTCTTTGTTTTGAGCAGGTCCCAAAGGCAGGTGGGTCCCTTGGCCTTCTCCAGGCGCTGCCAAGGAAAGTTCAGTCACCAGGAAGGAGAAGGAAGGCAAGGACCTGCTCTAGTGTGAGGTGTCCCTGCCCGTGGCAGGAGGTTTGGAACTAGATGATCTTTAAGATCTCTTCCAACCCAAACCATTCTATGATTCTCTGGCAACTAGTTTAATTGCATGTTCTTACATCCCTGTGCCAATAAACCTCTGACTGATCCCTTCCTTGTACAACTTAGTGCACCCAGTCACAGGGGGCTTAAATTATAGCTATTGCATTAAAAACACAAAGGAAATCTCTCAGCAGCACTAAATCACCCACGTGGTTCTGGGTTTTCCAGTCCCTCCTGGTTTGAGGTAGATTGACAAAGCTGTGAGCATACTGTTGAAGGGAGGGGAGGTCCCCAAGACAGATATTCTCCCTCTCACCCTCTGCAGTATAATTTTTTTGAGGTCAGATAAGGTTCTACCCAGGTCTCAGAGGCAGCATGCAACTTCTCCCTGGGGAAAAGGCCTCTTCCTGAGATACAGCTGGGTGACGAATTAAGGCTACATACTGAATTTATATTAACAAGCAATTTATGTGTGTTGTGGCTTTAACTCCACAACACTAAACCCGAAGTTACATCACAGTGTGGGACACAGGATATGGCTACCACAAAAAAGCACTTACCTTCATTATCTAATCTTGAGTAATAGAGACACTTAAAACAATATTATATCATTTATATACAATATAAATAACTAGCAAGTGTACAGTGTATGCTTATAATATATAACTAAAAATAAAGAACATGCTATTTCTTTAAGGATCTAATGCAAGGTGAACTGATCAGGTCTAGAGACA